GGCTCCTTTTTTTGCCCCTTTTTCCAAAGAAAAATCAGCTTTTCCTTCTCTTTTAGGCGGGAGCTCAGCCCATCAGCGTTGGGAAGTGCCAGTCCTGGGAATAATCCTGGGAATGAATAATCCTGGGAATGAAGAATCCTGGGAATAATCCTGGGAATAATCCTGGGAATAACGGCGTGTCCCCGGGGTGGTGGCACAGATGGCACCGGTGACACAGCGCTGTCGCCTCCAAAATCCACTTGTGGAGTCTTTTTTCCCACTTTTTCCAAAGGAAAGGCCCTTTCCCTCCTCGTTTAGGGGGTGGGAGCATCAGGCCGCTCCTGGCCGAGCCCGGCGCCGTGTCCCCGGGCCGGGGCGGTGGCACAGATGGCACCGGGGACACGGCGCTGCCACCTCCGGCTCCCCCGGAGAGGAAACGCGAGCTCGGCTCTCCCCTCCCACGGCGTCTCCGAGCGGGGGCAGGCGCCTGGCAGAGGCTCCCGGGAAATGAGGCAGCAGGGAAAAATTATAAAATAAAATAAAATAAAAAAATTTAAAATTAGGGAAAATGAAAATAAAAGTGGGGTTTTTAATGTTCAGTTTGGGAGGTGAGTAAATGGATCCTGCCCGGGGTTTTTGGGGAGCTGGAGGAGCAGCCAGGGGTTGGTTCCTTTGCTGATTGATAGATTTGATTGATTGATTGATTGATTAATGAAGGTGGAGCTGCAGCTTTGGGGTTGTGGGGGATGAGGGATCCATCCCGAGGGAACGGGATCAGGGGCCTGGAGCTGCTGACGGAGCCGAATCTCCAGGAATTTGGGAATCTCCAGCGGGGATTCCGAAATCTCCAAGAGTTTGGGGTCTCTGGGAATGTGGGATGCCCAGGAATTTGGCATCTCCAGCACCACCAAATTCCTGGTGGTGCGGCCCAAAAAAGCCCCTCAGAAATCCCAGAGGATGCTGGAAGAGTTCGATCCATGCCCAGGCAGCGATGGGAGCGAGGAGGGGCGGATTTGAGGAGGAAATTCCTTGTGATACACCCCAAAAGCCCTCAAAAATCGCCCAAAACAGGCCCAAAAAGCCCCCCAAAAATTGCCCAAAACAGGCCCAAAAAGCCCTCCAAAAACCCCCAAAACAGGCCCGAAAAGCCCTCCAAAAACTCCCCAAAACAGGCCCCAAAAGCCCTCCAAAAACCCCCAAAACAGGCCCAAAAAGCCCTCAAAACCCCCCCCAAAACAGGCCCAAAAAGCCCCCCAAAACCGGCCCAAAAAGCCCCCCAAAAAACCCCCAAAACAGGCTCAAAAAGCCCTACAAAAACCCCCCAAAACAGGCCCAAAAAGCCCTCCAAAAACCCCCCAAAACAGGCCCCAAAAGCCCCCATAAAAACGCCCCAGGAAAGGCAAAAAGAAGCGCAAAGGCCCCAACCCAGTCCCAAAAAAAAGCTCCAAAAATGTCCCAAAAACCCTTCCAAAAGCCCTCGCTCCTCACAAAGCTCAAAAACCTCCGAAAATCCCAAGGAAATCCCACAAAAAAACCCCCAGGAAGGCCAAAAAACCACCCCAAAAAGGTTCCCAATAACCAGAAAAAGTCCCTTAGAAAGGAAACAAAACCCAACAAAAAACCAAAGCCCTTAAAGCCCCCAGAAACGGCCCTGAAAAGGCCCCAAAATGGCTTTTTTGACCCTTCAAAAAGCCAAAACAAACCCTCCCAAAAAAGGCCTCAAAACCCCTGAGCAAGGCCCCCAAACCCAGCCCTAAAGAAGTTTTCAAAAAGGTAAAAAAAGCCCCCAAAACCCCTCAAAAACGGCCCTAAAAAGGCCCCAAAACACCCTTCAAAAAGCCAAAACAAACCCTCCCAAAAAAGGCCTCAAAACCCCTGAGAAAGGCTCCCAAACCCAGCCCTAAAGAAGTTTTCAAAAAGCCAAAAAAAGCCCCCAAAATGGCCCCCAAACACGGCCCTGAAAAGGCCCCAAAACACCTTTCAAAACTAAAAAAAAAAAACCCCAAAAAATCCCCAAAAAATAAACAAAAACCCAAAATACCCCACAAAAACAAAACCAAAAAAAAACCCCAAAAAAACCAAACAAAAACCCAAAAAATCCCACAAAAAGAAACAAAAAAAAAACCCAAAAAAACCCCAAAAAAGAAACAAAAAACCCCCAAAAGACGAGTCTGGAGGCGCGTTCTTGCACTACTCTCAGTGTTTATTCTGCGCTGCCTCAGCCCCGGAGCCAGGCCCGGCCCCGGCGCCGCTCGGCTCCTCCCGCCCGGCCGCGGCTTTTGGCTTTTGCTCTTTTTCTCTTTAATTCCATTTGTTTCAGAGTTTTTGTATCTTTTTTTCTGTCATTGTGTTCCCCCTGTGGGCATCGCCGCCCCCGCCCCGGAGGAGAAGGAAAAGGCATCGCTGGGAGGGGATCCCGCGGGGTTTTCCTCGGATTTGGGGTTTTTTGGGGTGTTTTGGGTCGTTTGTGTCGGTTCTGCGCGGTGGGCAGAGCACGGAAGGCACATTCATGTCTGATACCCTGTACGAGCTGGGGCAGCCGGGAGGGACTGAAAGGGGAATTGGAAGGGAAGGGGAGGAGGAAAAATGGGGGGAAAAATTAAAAAAAAATAAAAGGAAAAATGAAGAAATATGGTGGGAAAAAAAAAAGAGGTTGAAAGGGTTGGGGGAAATGGGAAAAAGTTGAGGGGAAAGGAAAAAAATGAAGAAAAATGGAAAAAAAAGGAAGAAAAATTGAAAAAAAAAGGAAAAAAAATTGAAATAAATGAAAAAAAGGGAAAAAAAGTAGAAGAAATTGAAAAATAAAGAAGACAAATAGTGAGAAAAAATAAAAAAAAAATTGAGAAAAAAGAGGAAGAAAAATTGAAAAAAAAAGGGAAAAAAAAGAGAAAGAATCATATAAAAAAATTAAAAGAAATGAAAGTAAAATAAAGTGGAAAAAATAAAACATAGAGGAAAATAAAAATGGATAGGAAAGGAAAAACAAAAAATGAAAAAGGAAAAATAAAGGAAAACAGAAAATTAGGGACGGGAAAAAAAAAACCACCAAGAAAAATTAAAAGGGAAATAAAGGAAAAAAATCAAGAGAAAACCAGATGAAAATTAGAAGAAACATGAAAAAGAAATTAAAAGGAAAACCAAAAGAAAATTGGAAAAATAAAAGCTAAAAATATGAAGAAAAAAAGGAAAAATAAAATTAAAAATGAGAAAAATAAAAGAAAAAAAATTAAATTAAGGGAAAAATGGAAAAAATTGAAAAATTAAAAGGAACACTAAAAATCAACCTTGTAGGAACTGAGGAGCAAATCCTGCCCAGTTTTCCTGCTCCCCCTCCCAGGAGCTTTCCCGACACCTCCACAGAGCTGCAAACAAAGTGAAAATTCCAAATCTCCAAACCCTGAACATCCTAAGAAAAAAACAAAACCTTTTTATTTTGATTTTTCCCCCCTTTCTTCCTTTTTCCAGAGGAAAAATTCCGCTCCCAACACGGCGAGAAATTCAGGAAGCGGCAAAGAAAAAATTCCTTGTGGATTACTGGGGAAAAACCCCCAAAATCCATTTAAAAATCCCAATTTTTTCCTGGGTTTCCCTCTGGAAAAGAGCCAAGAGTATCCCAAAAAAAAAAAAAAAAAAAAAAAGGAAAATATTGGGGAATGTTTGACACCATTTTATTCATCTTCAACTGCAGTGGAAAAATAGAAACCTTTTACAAGCGCCGGCGTTGTCAGCTCAACTCAAGTTATATATTTATATATTTTATATAAATTTCTTTTTTTTTCCTTTTTTTTTTCCTGTTTTTTATTTTTTCCTTGTGTTTTTCCAAGTGCAGCAAGAGACCAAAAACCACATCAAGCCTGATCCGAATCGAGCCTTGAGAAAGCAAAAAAAAAAATCCCAAATAATTCCAAATGAACAGCTTTTAATCCCATTTTTTGTGGTTTTCTTTCCACATCCAATTTCCTCTCCAAATATCACCTGAATTTTTTAAATTTTTTCTTTCTTTTTGTGCACATTTGTATTTATTTCTTTTTTTTTTTTCACCTCTTTGGCACAATTTTGATTCTGCTACAGTCCCAGTCAGGAGATCTCTTTTCCCAATTTGCAGCACTTTTTTAAAAAAAATCTGATTTTAATTTTTTTTCCTGACTTCTTTTTATTTTTTTTGGACTTTTTGAAGCCTGAAACTCGCTGGACAAATGGATTTTTCTATTCCCTGCAACCCAGAAATTGTGTTTTTTCCCCCATTTCTACATTCACAGTTGAATATTTAAGGAAGGAAAGGCGCTTTTGTTGCTGAGCAGGACAAGCCAAGAGCTCCAAACATTCAGCATTCCCTAAAAATAAAATCCCTAAAAAAAGCGACTTTCCTTAAATTTCATTTTTTTTTCCCTCTTTTCTACTTTTTCTTCCCTATCTCTTACTGCCTGAACCTCAGTTATGAAATGCAACAGCTGAACCCTTAAATTTTGTATATTTTAGATTTTTTTTGTCTTTTTTTTCCTGTCTTTTGTTGTTTTTTTTTTTTTTTTTTTTTTCCCCCGGAATTTTTTTTTTGTGGTTTTGGGGAAAAAAAAAAAAAAAAGAGAGAAACTGCAATGAAATCTTTTTTTGTTTTTTTTTTTTTTTTTTGGGAAGTTGAGAATGTGGATATGACCTCACTCACACACACTCACTCCTCCTGAAACTCCTTCTCTCTCCTCTGGGATTCGCCTCATCCCGGAGACTCCCAAATCCCTGGGAAAATCCCAAATCCCTGGGAAATTCCCCATTTCCCACCTCTCTCTCTCTCTCTCTCCAGCAGCCAAAACCTCACAGAGCACCGCTTTAATCCCAATTTTCCCCGTTTTTCCCTCATTTTCTCCTCCGAGCTCAGCCGCTCTTGGGCTGGAGGGAATTTTGCTTTTTCCCCCCCTTTTATTTTGGAATTTTTAGGGCACAGAATTCCCTCCTGGATGCCGGGGGTCACCAAAGGTTGGGATTTTTGTTCCGAGCCTCACTCACGCATCCTCAGCATCCTCTCATTCCCAAACATTCCGCACACGTCCTCACTCCCGGGGCTTTTGGGGGGTTTTGTAGGAGATTGGAGATTTTTCCTTTTTTTTTCTTGGTGTTGTTGTTGGTTTTTTTATCCAGTGGGGGTCCTCAGGTGTCGTCCCAATGGTAACAGATCTGGAAAAGGGAAAAGAAAAAGGGGATTTAGGGCGGGGAAAAATGGGATTTTGGGGGGGAGAAAATGGATTTGGGGAATTCAAGAGGGGAAAGGGAATTGAGGGGAAAAAAAGGGGGAAAAGGAATTCAGAGAAAAAAGGGGGGTCAGGAGGAAGAAGGGAATTCAGGGAGTTAAAAGTGTTTAAAAACGTGGGAATGGGGCTCTTGGGCTGGACTCCACCTTGGGGATTTTCCCAAATTTAAAAGTCCAGGATTACAACATAGAGACCCCAAACCTAAACACCTCGAATCAACAGATAATAATAAAAAATGCGAGGGAAAAAATTGGCTTCAATTCAATCTCAGCGACTTTTCCAACTTTAAAACAGAGAAAAATTGACTTTGTAGGGTCAAGAGACCCCCAAATGGGGCTTTTTTCCCCCAAAAAAAAGCAGGAAAACAGAACTTTGGGATTGTGACTCTTCCAAGGCTAAGCTGAACCAATTCCATGATTCTTTAGGTGGGATAAAAAGGGGGGGATGAGCCCTCACCAAGCTTGGTTCTTGAGTTTCCTCAGCTCTTTCGTGGCCCAGGTCGCGAGGGTTTTAGTTTTGTTCGTCTTGGATCTCCTCCCCTCCGTTAGCAGCTCGTGGATCATGGGTCTGGCTTCTACTAATTTCAGGACGTCCTTCCCAAAAGCTGTACACAAATCCCTGGATTTGCAGAGGAGAATTGGGAAATAAACCCCATGGGAGTGGCACAAAGTGCTGGTCGGGGCTGATTTTGGGGAAATCGCAGTTAGAAATGGGATTTAAAAATGCTTAAATGGGATTTAAAAATGCTCCAGTTCCTGGCCAAAGGTTGATTTTGCCATAATTCTCCTTCAATTCAGCAGGAGAAATGAAAACACCTCAACCTGGCTTTCTCTGTTACCTAAGGATGAGGAGTTTTTGTGGTTCTAAACTCCTGGAAAAATCCTGAATCTGGGATTTTTGTGACGAGTTTCTCACCTTCAGAACCGCTTCACACCTTGAGCCAAACACCCGAAGCCCAACCCCAAAACTGACACTGAAAACCTCAGCGAGGCAGGAAAAAAGGGCAGATTCCAGAATCTTAACCTGGCTTCCTCTGTTCCCTCAGGATGAGGGTTTTTGGGTACTGAGCACCTGGAAAAATCCTAAACGTGGGATTTTGGCGATGATTCTCTCACCTGCGAAACCCCTTCCCACCTGGAGCCAAACACCCAACTCCAACCCCAAAAGGGACCCGGAAAACCTCAGGGAGGCAGGAAAAGGGGGCGATCCCAGGGTTTTTCCTGGGAGGATCAGGGCGGGGAGGCCTCACCCGATGAGCCCCGCGGCGCAGGCCACCACCCCGTCCGTGTGGTCCTCGTCCCCCGCGATGTGGTCGATGTAGGACAGGATGAATTCCACCCTGGGCTGCACCAGCATCACGTCAGCTGCAGGGGAGAGGCCTGGTCAGAGCTTTGGGATGCTCCCAAAACCAGCCCGGGGCCCACCCGGACCCTCCCTCTGGGGAGCGGAAACGATCCCGGATTGTTTGGGGAAAGGAGGCTCAGGGGGGCTCCTGGATCCCTGGAAATGTCCCAGGAATGCGGGGATGTGGCACTGGGAGTTCAGGGAAAAAAGAGAATTCGGGGAATCAACAGGAGAAAAGGGAATTAAGGGGAAAAAGAAGGAATTCAGGGGGAAAAGGGAATTCATGGGGGAAAAGGGATTCAGGGGAGTAAGGGCAAAAAAAGGAGGTGTGGTTTGGAGGTGACACTGGACGATTTCAAAGGAAGGGAAGGAGCAGGGACACGACCACCCCAAAAGGAGGCCTGGGGAGGTTTGTGTCGGGTATCTGGGAATACCCAGGACGCCAGGAGGTGGCTGATGTCCAGGGTGGATCCCCAGGGCTGCCACTCACGGTGCACGTTCTCCTGGTCTCCCTTGAGGCCCTGGATGATGCCCGTGTAGGCCTCCAGGCAGCCCTCGCGCAGCTCGTTCAGGTAATCCACCATGTCGTAGTCGGACTGGGGACAGACACACGGACACGGCCGTGCCTTCAGCCCCAGCTCCCACATTTCCCAGGTTCTGCACTCACACGGAGTGCCAGCACGTTCTGCTCACAGCCCAGGCACACAAAACAATCCCTTTCCAGCCCCAGGGCCAAGCACAACCTTGCAGCTTCAGGCCCAAAAGTGTGAACAACACAAAGGCCCAAAAAGTGTGAGCAAAGCAAATTGAGGGGAGCAATCTGTGAGGATGGGACTGCATGAGCTGTAAATGGACAATTAACCCCAATATGGAAATGGAACAAAACTTATAAAAGTGAGAAAACTCCTGACTCTGAGTCCATCTTGGGTGTAGCCACGGCCAGGCTCTTGTGCTGCCCAAGGTGAATCCTTGAAGCCTTTTAACAAATCCCTGCTTTATTCCTTTAACTCTGCCCAGCCCCTTTAGGCTTCCAGGTGAGACCTTGGGGATGCCCCCTGGGACTGGGGACAGCTCACCTTGTCCACCTGGGCCTGGGATGCCTGCTGGAGGGTGTTGAGCACCACGTCCAGGTACTTCTTGAACTCGCCCCCGATGGCCAGGGCGATGTCCCCGAACACCGAGAGGATCTGCGGCTTCACCGACCTGTGCACGTTCTCATTCTGGGAAAAAAGCATCCCAAAAGGGTCCTGGATCAGTGTGGGAAGGGGCAAAGCAAAGGAGGGAATGGCCTCAGGCTGCACCAGGGGGTTGGTGTGGGGTGCTTCGGAATGCTTCCCCAGGGGAAGGGGTGTCAAATGTTGGAGCAACTACAGCCAGGGGTTGGAAAATGCCTGGAAATGTCCCAGGAATGTGGGAGAGGGAGGGAAAGGGAGGAAGGAATCCAAAAGGAAGAAAGGAATTTGGAAGGAAGGAATTCAGAATTCAGAAGGAATTCAACAGGAAGGGAGGAAGGGAGGGAGGAATTTGGAAGGAAGGAAGGAACTTGGAAGGAGTGAATTCAGGAAGGGATTCCAGAAGGAATTCAGAGAGAGAATTCAGGAATTCAGGGGGAGCGATGCAGAGTGGGAGAGAGGAAGGAATCTGGGAGGAATTCAGGAATTCAAGAAGGAATTGATTTAGGAATTCAGCAGGCTGATAAATGAGACATTCCCCCAGAACCCAACGCCCTTGCCCCCAGCACCTCCTGGCCGCCGTTCAAACCGCGCGGCGTCGCCAAACACGAGACGTTCCCGGAGAATTCCTCCCACTTTTCCCAGGCTTCTCCCACCTCCCACTCCCCTGGGAAGAGTGAGCATCCAACTGTTACTCGGGAATCTCCCACTCACCCCCAGGTTCTCCAGGAGCAGCTGCATCACCTCGTCGCAGAAGGGGAGGATGTTGGACTGCAGGGCTCGGCACAGGTCCCCCACCAGCCCCACTGCTGACAGGCAGACCTGCAACAGGGCAGGGATCAGCTCTGGCATTGGGGAGCATCCCCAGGGATTTGGGGTCGTCCCCTGGGAATTTGGGGTCATCCTGGTGCTCCGGAGGGATGGGAGGGTGATTAAATCCTAAAGGGGATAACGAGCTGGCTGACAGCATGGGGTGAGGCATGAGGGCAGCACATCCAGGAGTGGCAGGGATTCGGCTTGGAGAAACATCCCTAAATTCCAATTCCAAAGGGGAAATCCCAGACAGGATTTGGGCTGGAAAAACTACTCCAAAATTCCCATGGAGGCCATCAGGATTGATAATCCAAGGGCAAATCCCAGCCAGGATTGATATCCCACAAGGAAATCCCAGCCAGGATTGATAATTCAAGAGAAAATCCCAGCCAGGATCTGGGCTGGGGAAAAAAACCTCCAAATTCCCTTGGGGGGCACCAGGATTTGACATTCCAAGGGGAATTTGCTGCCTTATCCACACTTTTCCTTGGAAGTAACTAAGAAAACCTAAGACACCAAAATTCCACGCTCCAAAGTGGTTTGGATTTGAGAATCCTGGGATTGTTTGGGTTGGAAGTGACCCCACTGGATGGGCAGGGACACCTTTCACTATCCCCAAACTCATCCAACCTGGCCCTGGAAAATTCCAGGGATGGGGCAGCCACAATTTCCCTGGAAAAGAGAGAAATGGGATCCACACCTGGTACTCAGCGTAGTTTTTCAGACCAATCCCAAGGAAAGGTTTGAAGGCATCCATGTACTTCAGGAATTCTCCACCCAGGACTGTGCAGGGAAAACATTCCAGTGAGAAGGAAAATCCCGATTCCTGGCATTTGCCATAAACAATAAATCAGAAATCCCTCAAATTCCACCCAAACCCAGCGAAAACCAACGTTCCACTTGACAACTGAGAACAGTGAAATTATCCAGGTCCTCCTGGACTGGACAAATTCCCAAATTCTTATAGGAAATGCCCTGTCCAGCCTGGCCTTGGACACCTGAGCCTTGTGAACACCCCCAACTCTCCTTTACTGCCTTATCCACATTTTCCTTGGGAATAATAAAAAAATACAAGAAACCAAAACTCTACTCTCTAAAGTGGTTTGGATTTCAGAATCCCAGGATTTCTTGGGTTGAAGGGGACCTTAAAGTGACACCTTCCACTATCCCAAGTTCCTCCAGCCTCGGCCACTTCCATGGACGGAGCCCCCCCACCTTCCCTGCACCAGAAATTAAATTTTCCACCACTTTGCCCAAAATTCCCGGATCCAACCCCATTCCTGACCTTCCACCAGGGTGCTGACGGCCATCAGGGCGTCCTCCTGCACCCCCCCGGAGCCGGCCGTGCTCTGGAACATTCTGAGCAGCGACGCCATCACCACGTCCGAGATCTGCAGCGCGTCCTGGTGCTGCACCTTCCGCAGCACGTTCTGAGGGGAAAATCGTGGAAAACGGGCAAAAATCACTGCTTATCCTACAGGTAAAGCACTCCCACAGCCCTGGCTTTGCTCCTTCTGAGGGAAAAATCATGGAAAATGGGAAAAAATCACTGCTCATTCCACAGGTAAAGCATTCCCACAGCCATGGGTGCTGCACCTTCCGCAGCATGTTCTGAGGGAAAAATCGTGGAAAATGGGCAAAAATCATCAGTTATCCTATAGGTAAAGCATTCCCACATCAATGGGTCTGCTCCTTCTGAGGAAAAAATCATGGAAAATGGGAAAAAATCACTGCTCATTCCACAGGTAAAGCATTCCCGCAGCCGTGGGTGCTGCAGCTTCCGCAGCACGTTCTGAGGGAAAAATCATGGAAAATAGGAAAAAATCACTGCTTATCCTATAGGTAAAGCATTCCCACATCAATGGGTTTGCTCCTTCTGAGGGAAAAATCATGGAAAATGGGAAAAAATCACCATTCATCCCTCAGGTAAAGCATTCCCACACCAATGGGTTCTGCACCTTCCTCAGCACATTCTGAGGGAAAAATCGTGGAAAACGGGCAAAAATTGCTGCTTATCCTACAGATAAAGCATTCCCACAGCCCTGAGAGCTTTGATAAGGATGAAAGAGCTGCTGTTTGAACCCTTTTGCAGCCAAAAAAATCTGCTTTTGTGGCTGCAAAGTCCTATTCATTTGGCTGCATTCAGATTTTCCAGCTGAATTTCCCTTTCCTGCTGCATGGGCTGTTCTCAAAGCTTTGCCATGTGTAAGCTGGAATTAAATGTGACCAGCCCAAATTTAGCCTATTAAAAAAAACATAATAATGAAATCCTTTTCTTTTCTGTTGCAGCTGAGCTTGTAGGGGTTGAACCCTTCTGAATTAAAAGTTTAGAAATGCTTGAAGTGGTCAAAATACAACAGTTCCCAGGAAAAGAAAAAAAAAATCCTTAATTTCCAGAAGAACATAATTATTTAAAGTTTAATTTTGCACTCCACAAAAATGGACTTTGGCTGTTTATATAATTAAGATTTGAATTATGGAATTACAGGATGGTTTGGGTGGGAAGGGAGCTTAAAAATCCCCAAATTCCATGGACAGTAACACATCCCACTAAACCAAGTTGTTTCTTCCAGGGATGGGATTTTCTCATTTAATTTTCAATATTAACAAATGTTTTTTCTTCTGCTGGATGTTCGTAATTGCATTTCCAGCAAAACAACAAAAAAAATTGGGAAAAACCCCCATATATTTTATCTTTTTAATACTGAAAAAAGTCCCTCTGCTGAGTTTTACTCAGTGGTTTTTTTAGCATTTGCTGCAACTGGGTAAAAAATTCAGGTTCAGGTTCTGGGATGATAATAAAAAACCACATTTAGACATTAAAATTGGCATCTTAATTCCACCTCGATTACACTCCCCAGGCAGAGATCAGTGCCCATCCTGTGAGATTCCAGGGCAAAAATTCTCCATTAAAACCCTTTCCAAGGACAGTTTATTCCCATTTCCCATTATTTTCAAAAATTACCGTAAAATTGGGGAGTGAAAGCAAACATGAAGCTTTTGAGGATGAAATTAGGGACAACCTGGGATCAACCTGGAGAGCACCTGGGTTGCTCTGAGCTGATTTTTTGGGGAAAAAAACCCCTTTTTTGAGCAGTGTTTGCAGCAGTAAGCACCGCCCTGGTGGCGCCTGCTCATTAGCAGATGTTTAATTGGGAATTCTGAGGACACTCAGAACATTTTAATTGGTGCCATTTGGATCAAGAGCACCAAGCACAAGAGGCAGATGAGGGAATCAAAGCCTTGAGGGAATTTTTTTGTTGTTGTTGTTGTTGTCTGTGGGATTGTTGAGGCTGTAGCCAACCCAAGAACCAATCTGACAGCACAGACAACCTATAAAATCCCCAGCAGCATTCTTTGAGTCACATTGCCCTGAATTTTGTCACTAGAGCACAACTTAGAGACTTCTGAACCTTGCATCACCTCCCACGTGTCAGCTGGGACCCAAAATCCGCTTTTTTCATTCAATTCTCAGCACCAGGAGCTGAGGTTGCAGCTTTAGGGGCACACAAACACCTCAAAAACCACTTTATTCCCACAGCAAACCCAGGAGAGAGGAACTTACCTGGAGAGTAGCACAGAGAAGAGACTGGAGGTCGTTGAACTGGATTCTGTCAGAGGTGCTCTGGATGTGAGACTGAAACAAGAACAAAATCCCACATGTGAAGAGGCTGCCTGGGATCCTGGCAGCTCCAGGGAGAGCCAGGTTGTACTTTAAATATTTGTTCTTTTCAGATTTCAGAGCACAGGGGCTGTGAAGAAGCTGAATATAGAAACCCTGAGTGGTTTGGGACCTTAAATCCCAAATGGGCAGGGACACCTCCCACCATCCCTGGATTTGGACACTCTCAGGGATAGAGTTTTAAATTTAAATTTTTAATTTTAAATCAGGATTTACCCACCTCCATCTGCAGCACTTGCTGGAGCCTCTCCATGATGACCAGGGTGGTTTTTTGGACAGCAGGATAACAGTCCTTGGCACTGTTTTTCACTATTTCCATCAGGGATTCATAGGCAGAACTCCTCAAGTTATTCTGGTGTCCATCAGGTCTGCAACAGAAGGAGGAAGATTTGCAGCTCCAAGTGCTTGGAAACAGATTTTTTTTAATTTTAGTAAACCAGCAACAGCTCCATTTGAGTGCTGTGACAAGCAGGAGCCACTTGAAAAGCCTTGAAATAAAGGGAATTTGTGAAGCCGCTTCTGGCAGTTTTCTTTCTAACGATTTTCAGTTTTTGAAATGATTTTCAGCAGCTCTCACAACAAGGAGAGGGACAGAAGGAGCCTCGGAGTTGGTGTCAGGTGAGCAGCACTTGAGAGCCCCTCCCCAGACACCCCTGAGGGTGTGAAATTTGGAATTGAGGCACCTGAGATGATTGATGGGCTCCAGAGCCTTGAGCCAGACACTCCACTCTTGGCTGGATGCAAATGAAGACAGGGAAAGAGTTTAAATTTTGAACTGGGACAAGGCTTTTAAGGAGAATCAGCAGCAAAAAAAGCTCCATCAGTCCATGGAGCTGATCCAGGGATTGAACCTGGAGCTGTCAGATTTATGTGACCTTCAAGCCACCATAGAATTTGAGTTTTAGCCTTTTTTTCCCCTGCATCTGAGAGCAAAATATTTTCCCTCAGATGTGAGGGGAAAATGTGAGGAAAAAATGGAGGAGTTGTGAGGGGAAAATGGGGGAGATGTGAGGGGAAAATGTGGGAGATGTGAGGGGAAATGGGAGAAATTTGAAGGAAAAGGGAGCAAGGACACTTCTGGACTTCCTAAAACCAGATATGGACAAAATTATGAGAAATTATTCAGTGGGAAGAGCTGTTTTCCTGGGATTTGCATCCTCTATTCCTCTGGGTTTTTTTACACCAACTAAAGCCACGTTTTAATCCAACACCAGATCTCAGCTGCCAAGAAGAGCCTGAGAGCGTGGAGTGGGAAATAAATGAGAAAAGGCTTTCTGGAGAGGCTGCTTTACCTGTCTGCAGTCTCCAGCAGCTTCTGCACTATCAGCTCAAAAGAGGAGGATAAGCAGTAGGTTGCTGGTTCTTCCTGATCATCAGCCACATCTGCAGCTTCATAGGCAGCTTCAGCAAGGCTGGAGAAGGCCTGGGACACAAAATATCAAAATGTCCAACTTGAGGGAAAATGGGCGAGACGTGAGGGGGAAATGGGGGTGGATGTGAGGGGGAAATGGGGGTGGATGTGAGGGGGAAATGGGGGAGATTCGTGAGGGGAAAACGGGGGAGAACCGTGAGGGGAAAACGTGAGGGGAAAAAAGGAGAGATTCGTGAGGGGAAATGGGGGTGGATGTGAGGGGGAAATGGGGGAGATCCGTGAGGGGAAAACGGGGGAGATGCATGAGGGGAAAACGGGGGAGATGCGTGAGGAGAAAATGTGAGGGAAAAAAGGAGAGATTCGTGAGGGGAAACGGGCAAGATTCGGACAGCCAAGACCAAACAGCCTTAAGGGATGTCCAGGCTGGATATTAAGGAAAATTCCCTCATGGAAGAAGTCCCAGGCATCTGCACAAGCTGCCTGGAGCAGGGCTGAACTGCCAGTCTCTGGAATTGCCCACCAAATTCACGGATGAGCACACAAGAGCCAGCACAATTCAGCGCTGCTGCCGGCACAACGCTCAGACCTGGTGTCACCAAAACCCTTCCAGATCCCACCGGGAGCTGCTTTTCCCACTGGGTGTGGATTCCCGCGGGGTCTGGGGGGCTCCTCACCCAGCAGACGTTGGTGGCCACCCTGGGCTCGGCGCTCAGCCCCTCCATCAGGCACTGCAGCAGCGGGGCCAGGTAGATGTCGTTGATGGCGGCCTCGGGCAGCATCTCACAGATCCTGCCCACGGTCCAGGCTGTCGTGTCCCTGACCACCACACTGGGATCCTTCATCAGCTCTATCAACGTTGGCATGGCCTGGAAGGAGCCAGGAGAAGCCACGTGAGGGGAAAAAAAAATTTCTCCTACAAATAACCATGCAATTTTAAACTGTAGAAACCCCCAAACAAGAGATTTTTACCTCCAAAACCAGATTACACCCTCCTTATTTTCCTCAAAAGAAACCCTCCAAAACCCCACAAAACTCAGGCTCCAGAAGCCTCCAAAACAGGTGACATCCTTTTGATTTTCCTTAAAATGAGATCATGTAGAAACCAGACATTCTCTCCCAATTAACCCAGCGATTTCGGGCTCTAAAACCCTACAAAACTCAGGCTCCAGAAACACCCTTCTGATTTTCCTTAAAATAAGATCAATTAACCCAGTGATTCTGGGCTCTAAAATCCTACAAAACTCAGGCTCCAGAAACGTCCAAAACAGGTGACATCCTTCTGATTTTCCTTAAAATAAGATCAATTAACCCAGTGATTTTGGGCTCTAAACCCCTACAAAACTCAGGCTCTGGAAACGTCCAAAACAGGTGACATCCTTCTGATTTTCCTTAAAATAACATCAATTAACCCAATGATTTTGGGCTCTAAAACCCTACAAAACTCAAGCTCCAGAAATGTCCAAAACAGGTGATATCCTTCTGATTTTTTTTTTAAATAAGAGCATGTAGAAATCAGACATTCTCCTCCAGATAACCACAAGACTTTTAGCTCTAGCAGCCCCTAAAGAGGGCATTTTCACCTCCAAAAGCAGATGGCACCCTCCTGATTTTCCTGAACCGAAAAGCTCACGCAAACGGAGCACCCTGCCCTGAAGACCCGCAGGATTCGGAGCTGCAGCCGTGCCCAGCACTGACCTGTATGACCAAAGGCTTGAGCTGGTTGGGCTCGGGCCCCTCCAGGATGCAGCCGAAGGCCATGACGGCCGCGTCGCGGTACCTCCAGTCGGGGTTCTTGATGTGCTCCTTGATGAAGGGCAGCACGTGCGGGACGATGTCGTCCTCGCAGCACGTGGCCAGCAGCATCAGGCACACCCCTGCGGCCTTGCAGGGGTTCCAGTCGTCGTCGTCGTCGTTCTCATCCTGCGGGAAAAGCATCACCCGGCCATGCAATGAAGTTCGAACTTTAATATTTTCAGATTTTGTGCTGCTTTACAGTGTGGGTCTGAGATACATATTAAGGGTTGGTGAGCTCTCTTCACAGAGTAGGGAGATAAAATAATTCCTTTTACAGCTTGGGAACAAGGACAATCTCACAAGTTACAGGAGCATATTCTGTCAGGAATAGAGGGAATCACCAAACCTCTTGGGAACCGCAAATCTTGGGAAGCACAGCTCCAATAAATCCCTGGAAGTGTTTAACAGGAAGTAAATAAACTCAGGCCTCAATAATTCCAAGGATTGGGAGCTCACATGAAGCTGTGGAATATTTGGTTTAATATCCCAAATATTCCAAATAGGAATAGAGGGAATCACTAAAACCCTCTGGGAACCACAAATCTTGGGAAGCACAGCTCCAATAAATCCCTGGAATTATTTTATATATGGTTTAACAGGGTCTAAGGCCTCAAAAATCCCAGGAACTGGAGCTCAGATGAGGCAGGGGCTGTGCAATATTTGGTTTAATATCCCAAATATTCTTTCAGGAATACAGGGAATCACCAAACCCCTCTGGAAACCATAAATGCTGGGATGTGATCAGGGAAAAAAAGGAGGCAAGTCCCAGTCTCAGCCCAAAAATTGCTGCATCACTGGCTCAGAGTGGTGCATGAAAGCTCATCACAGACCAGGGACTGCCACCTCCATTTTGGGGATCCAAAAGGGATTTTGAGGAATCCAAAACCCCATTCCCAAAGGAGCCAGGGGGCAGGAAGAGCTCCTGAGCTGCAATTCCCTCAAGGAACGTGGCACTCACCTGTTTTGTTAAGGTCTGGGTTAGGATAGGGACCAAATACTGCAGTGCCCCCTTGGCATAGAACTTGCTGGTGTGCTCTGGGGGCCGTCCTTGTTCTGCTGCCTGCAGAGAAGAAGAAGAGGTGAAAAGTTTATTTTCATCAATATTTTTATCTGGTTTTATATAATTTTTTTCAGCGTTAAAAGGCTGAATGATCAACTCCAGGAGGCATAAATTCCCTTTTTTTTCCCCCCTCCTCCCCAGCACAAATTCTGAGCTGCCTCAAGGGCACTTTGCACTGAGGTAAATATTCCAAAATCCACTTTAAATATTCCAAAATCCACTTTAATTCCTCATCCCTCCTCACAGGGCACAATTATCCCCATTTTCACTTGGCTGTCAGGTGCAATTACCAAGTGACCCCGAGGTGAAGGAGCAAAAGGTTTGGAGCAAATAAACCCCACCCCACTGCTGCTGCCTGTCCTTTTATCCTTGATTTTTTTATTTTTTGGGAATGCAAGCATAAATATAGATTTAGCTGCTTTTAAAAAAATGGATGTGATTCATGCAGAGCCCTTCAAAGTTTCAGCTGTTATTGATCTCCACAGACAATTTCTGCAAACAGCATCTGCACGCAGAACAAATTCCCCAAATTCCTCTCCAGCCCCAGCCATTCCACAGGATAATTACTTTTATTTCTTCCAGAATTCCAGGTCTGACTCATAAATCATGGATTTTAGGGAATGTGTACCATCTTTTGGAAGAAAAACTCTGTCATAACCATGGCAGACCCCAAAATTTTGGGCATTATTTCATTAATCCCACGGATTATTTCCAGGAAAAGCATGGGAGAGCTCTGGATAGGAGCTGCACGTGGATTTAGGTGGAAATAGGGAATAAGAATGGTAAAATTGGGTTATTTGAACAAAACCCACCAGGCTGGAGAGAAGCTGGGTTGGCGGGAGGTGTCCTTGCCCATGGCTGGGATTTAAGGTCCTCCCAACCCAAACCATCTCAGGATTTTGGGATTAACAGGAATTCCGAATGCAGAGTCAGCTAAAAACCTCCAGTTTACCTGGGGGGAGCAGGACTTGGGCCAGAACCAAGTGAGGAGCTAAAAACTCGAGTCCCAAATGAGGAAGTAACTCCCAAAACAGCAGCTAAGAAGTCCCAAAGGGGAAGCCAAAACTTGAACTCCCAAATGAGCTAACAACTTTCAAAAGGAGCCAAAAATCCCCAAAGGAGGAGCTAAAAACCCCCAAGGGAAGAATTTAAAGCTCCCAAAAAGAGGAGCCAAAATCTCTTTTAGGGCTTTTCAGGTGGTGCTGTGAGCCCAAAACCAGTCAGGAATTTCTCCATTTCCCCCCAGGAACGGCAGGAGGAGCTCCCGGGGTGGCCAAAGCCAGGAATGGAAAATTTCAGGGAAGAGCAGGGGATCCCAGGGCATGGATGAGGGGATTGGTGAGGGGAATCTCAGGGGATGGATGAGGGGATGGATGAGGGGATGGATGAGGGGATGGATGAGGGGATGGGTGAGGGGATGGGTGAGGGGATGGGTGAGGGGATGGGTGAGGGGATGGGTGAGGGGATGGATGAGGGGATGGATGAGGGGATGGGTGAGGGGATGGGTGAGGGGATGGGTGAGGGGATGGGTGAGGGGAATCTGAGGGGAATCTGAGGGGAATCTGAGGGGAATCTGAGGGGAATCTGAGGGGAATCTGAGGGGAATCTGAGGGGAATCTGAGGGGAATCTGAGGGGAATCTGAGGGGAATCTGAGGGGAATCTGAGGGGAATCTGAGGGGAATCTGAGGGGAATCTGAGGGGATGGATGAGGGGAATCTGAGGGGATGGATGAGGGGAATCTGAGGGGAATCTGAGGGGAATCTGAGGGGAATCTGAGGGGAATCTGAGGGGAATCTGAGGGGGATCTGAGGGGGATCTGAGGGGATGGATGAGGGAATTCCCAGGGGATGGATGAGGGGATGGATGAGGGGATGGATGAGGGGAATCTCAGGGGATTCTCAGGGCATGGATAAGGGAATCTCAGGGGATTCCCAGGGCATGGATGAGGGGAGTCCCAGGGCATGGATGAGGGGATGGATGAGGGGAATCTCAGAGGATTCTCAGGGGATTCTCAGGGGATTCTCAGGGCATGGATGAGGGGAATCCCAGGGCATGGATGAGGGCATGGATGAGGGGAATCTGAGGGCATGGATGAGGGGATCCCAGGGCATGGATGAGGGGACCCCAGCCCCACCTCGGAGGCCTCGATGGCCAGGTCCATCTCCTCGTCGCACACGTTGGACCAGAACTCGATGCCCTGCAGAGCCACCTCGTCTATGTCGCTTTTCATCGCCTCAATCGTGATCTGCCGTGCCAAAAAAAAAGGAGATTTTAGGGATTGATCCTGCCTGGAATTCATCCTGGTTTGTGGGAGATCAGGAGGAGATTGGGGATTGGGGGAAATTCAAGTTATTGAGGTTGAAAATTACAAATCGGATTTTTCGCCCTTATTTTATCACCTGGAACTGAGGGTTTTGTCCCATTTGGAATTTCAAGGATGTGGTTTTTAGGGATTGGGATCCCCAGGGATACAAAGGAAAATCAGGAATGGAAATTTTTAAAGAGATGGCCTTGAGAGAAATAAAAATGGAAAATAGAAACAGAAATTGAGGGAGATTTGGGAAATAAACATGAGAAATATAAATAAGGGAAATCAGAGAAATAAACATGAGAAATATAAATATGAACAAAGGAAAATCAGAGAAATAAATTGAGAAATACCAATACAAGTACAGAGAGAGCAGAGCAATAAATATGAGAAATACAAATGGAGGAAATCACAGAAGTATAAGTAGAGGAAAATCAAGAAAATAAATATCAATATAAACACAGGGAGATCAGCCAAAAAGAGTGAGAAATATAAATTCAAATGGGGAGAAATCAGAGAAATAAACTGAGAAATAAAAATACAAATGGGGGAAAATACGAGCAGAGAAAAATCGGAAGAATAAATATGAGAATTAGAAATAAAATTTATTTATTATAAATAAATAATTTATTATAGATTAATTTTATATCTTACTTACATATTATTAACATCTATTATTATACCAGTGTATAAATATTATTACAGTATTACATTATATTAATATATGCTAATTATATGTGAAATTAATATATGTTCATTAGAAATATAAAAATAATTTTATTATTAATTATTAAAATTATTTTATAAATAAAACATAAACCACTCACAGCAAAGAGGGCAGGCCCCATGTAGGTCTCCATATATTGATAATAAAGGGACATTATCTTCACCAGGTTCTGTAAGGCAGCCACTCGTACCTGGGGCAGAGGAAAATGCCCAATTTCACACAATTTTCCTATTTTTAGGATATTTTTGGCAGGCAGAGATTCCCCAGGAAGGGAATTTTGAATTTACTCACCCTTGTGTCTGGACACTGTGTGGCTTCACAGACTACTTGCATAATAAAGTGCCTTTCAGACTGGAAAAAAGAGAAATAAAAGAACCTTAAAAGGGTTCAAAGAAGAATTAAAGCTTTTAAAGGCTCCCCAGGGAGGGTGAATTTAGGTCTGGACCAGCACAGACACAGGGCACCACTCCCTGCTCTACTTTAAACCATCTTCCCCCCAAAGTGGGAATATTTTCCCCCCAAAACTGGAGTATTTTTCCCCAAAAGTGAAGCGTTTTTTTCCACCAAAGTGGAAATTTTTTCCCCCCCAAAACGGGAATCCAAAACTTCCATTTCAAGGCTGTCCAAAATAAAGACACAGCAGAACTTCAGAATTCAAAAATCGTGCTGGTCCCTGAATTATTTCAGCAATTTCTTAAAAAAAAAAAAAAAAAAAAAAAAAAAAAAAAAAAGGGGGGGGGGAAAGAAAGGGAAAAAAGAAGGAAAGAAAGGGGAAAGGTCAGAAAGGGGAAAGGTCAGAAAGGTCAGTGCTCCCCTCCCTGGCCAGAGCTGGATCCAAGTCTCAGTTTCCACAGGATTTATCCATCAAAACTCAGCGTGGTGCATGAACCCTCATCACTGACCGTGGATCAGCAGCTCCCCCTGCAATCCCTTCCCAAGATTTTGGCTTTTTTGGGGTTTTTTTCCCCCTCACCTCTTTGTCAAAGTTTGCTTTGGTGAATTCCAAAGAGTTCAGGAGTGCGTTGGTAGCTGCAAGCTTCACATTGTTGCTGGGCTCCTCCTTTCTCATTCCCTGGATTATGGCAGTCAGGATTTCATTGGATTTGTCCTGGAGCTGCTCTGGATCCTGAAAAAAAAATATTTAAAAAAATCTGGATAAAGTTATTTATTATTTAAATATATTTTTAAAATTTATTTATTATTGAAATAGATTTTTAAAATTTATTTATTATTTAAATAGATTTTTTCTGTTTCCAAGCAGTAGAATCTACAAATAAAAGGGATTTTTTTTTTTTGTCAGAATCTACAAATAAATGTTTTAGAAAAATTTTAGGATAAACCAGGAAATCATGGGAAATCCAAGGAATTCCTGCAGCACTTGGGATGGGAAGGAGAAGCCTGAACTGAGCACAAATCCTCCAGAAATCCCCTGGCCAGAGGAAATTCCAGATTTGCAGCCCAGGGAGGATGCCAAGGCTGATCCCTGTTTTCCCTCAGCCCTGTGGGGACACGGAGGCTCCGCTTTCCCTCCAGGAATGGTGACCTGGATTTGGGGTGGGAAAGGAGGTCAGGCCTTCCAGGAACCTGCCTGGAGCTGCCAGCAGGGGGAAAATCTCCTGGAAACCAGGGAATCCCCTCCAGAGCCGCACAAATCTCCTGGAAATCAGGGATTCCTTAAGGAATCATCAAAGCATCACCAAAGTTTCCTGGGAATCCAAATATCAGGAAAGCCCTCCAAGATAATTTTAAAGTCTCCTGGAAATCAGGATTTCCTTAAGGCTGGAAAAGCCCAAGGCCATAAAAATCTCCTGGGAATCCTTAAAAAACAAAAAAATCCAACTTAAAAAGTCCCAGTCCAACATCCAACCAAAAAAGTGCAACCTAAAGAACTCAATCCTAAACCCAGCCCAACAAATCCAAAAAACTTCAACCCAAAATACAATCCAAAGAATCCAAGCCAAAACCCAACCCAGAATCCAACCCAAAAGATCCAAAAAACTCCAATCCATCCCAAAATGCAACCCAAAGAATCCAGCCCAAAGAATCCAAAAAACTCCAACCCAAAGAAACAATCCAACTCAAAATCCAGCCCAAAGAATCCAAGAAACTCCAACCCAAAGAATCCAAAAATCTCCTACCCAAAGAATGGAACCCAAAGAATCCAAAAATCTCCTACCCAAAGAATGGAACCCAAAGAATCCAAAAATCTCCTACCCAAAGAATTGAACCCAAAGAATCCAAGAAACTTCAACCCAAAGAATCAAAAAAATCTCCAACCCAATGAATGGAACCCAAAGAATCCAAGAAACCCAAAGAATCCAAAAAATGTCCAACCCAAAGAATCCAAAAATCTCCAGCCCAAAGAAAAGAATCCAAGAAACTTAAACCCAAAGAATCCAAAAATCTCCAACCCAAAGAATCCAAAAATGTCCAACCCAAAGAATCAAACCTAAAGAATCCAAAAAACTCCAACCCAAAGAATGGAACCCAAAGAACCAAAAATCTCCAGCCCAAAGAACCCAAAATCTCCAACCCAAAGACCCCAAGAACCTCCAGCCCAAGGACCCAGGCACCCATCCCACCCCGCAGCCCCGGGCACTCACGATGTCCTGGCAGATGTAGCCGATGGCCTCGAGCGTGGACTCCTTCATGTGCTCGGTGCTGTGCTGGTTGGTGACGTTGGCCACCAGCTGCGGGATCAGCTCGGGCCACTGGTTCATGGGGATCTCGGCGCAGGCGATGCCGGCCACGCACTGCGACGCCGAGCTGGGCCGGTACGTCTCTGTGCCCAGCGTCTGCAGCACCTGCGCCGCACAAACGGCCATCAGGGACCCCGGGGACCCCGGGACCGGCCATGGATCACCGGGGAACCCACACAAACGGGTATCAGGGACCCCGGGGACCGGCCACGGATCACCGGGGAACCCGCACAAACGGCCATCAGGGACCAGCCATGGATCACCGGGGAACCCCAAAAAACGGGCATCAGGGACCCAGGGACCGGCCACGGATCACTGGGGAACCCACAGAAACGGGCATCAGGGACCGGCCACAGATCACCGGGGAACCCGCACAAACGGGCATCAGGGACCCAGGGACCAGCCATGGATCACCGGGGAACCCCAAAAAACGGGCATCAGGGACCCCAGGGAGCCCAGGGACTGGCCACAGATCACCACAGATCCCCCCAAAAACGCTACTGGGGACGCCCCAAAAATGCTGCTGGGAACCCCCCAAAAACGCTGCTGGGAACCCCAAAAACGCTGCTGGGAACCTGCACAAACGCTGCTGGGAACCCCCCAAAAACGCTGCTGGGAACCCCCAAAAACGCTGCTGGGAACCCCAAAAACGCTGCTGGGAACCCCAAAAACGCTGCTGGGGATGCCAACCCCGGCTGGGACTGCCATGCTAAAGGTTCAACAAATCGCGGTTGAATTCGCCCCAAAAAGGAAATTTTTTAAGCTAAAAGGATCTTGGTAGTTTTGTAATGCATTGGGGATTGATCAGGAAGATTTTTGGTGGTGGACTTTGGGAATTTTTCCTTAACTTTCTGGTAAAAGTTCAACACATCGGGGTTGAAATCAACACGAAAAGCAAATTTTTAAATGCCAAAATTATCTGTGTAATTTTGTTGGACATTGGGGTTGATTTTTGGTGGTGGAATTTGGGAACTCTTCCTTAAAATAACAGAGGGAGGGGGATGCATTTTTTCAGCTTTTCCTGTTATACACCAGTAAAATTTTCTTTAAAAAACAGAGGCAGGGGTTTGCACTTTTCCATCATTTTTAGTTACACACCAATAACTTTCTCTAGAAAACAGAGGGATTTTTTCAGCTTTTCCTGTTATACACCAGTAAAATTTTCTTTAAAAAGTAGAGGCAAGGGTTTGCACTTTTCCATCATTTTTAGTTTTACACCAATAACTTCCTCTAAAAATGGAGGGAAATGGGATGAACTTTTTTCAGCATTCCCAGTTTTACTCCAGTAACTTTTTTAAAAAAAATAGAGGGAAATGCTTTTTTTTTTTTATCATTTCCACTTGAATACCAGTAATATTTTCTATAAAAAATAGAGGAAGGGATTAGCCTTTTTCCAGCATTTTTGGTTATACACCAATAAAACTTTCTTTAAAAAACAAAGACATGAGAATTAATTTTTTCAGCATTTCCAGTTACACACCACCAACATTTCCTTTCCAAACTGGAGGGAGTGGGATGCATTTTATCAGCATTTCCAGTTCACACCTTCATTTTCCAAGTTTCCACCTAAACGTTGGGTTTTTGGTGTTGAAAACAGCAACAAATTGTTCAATTCCAGTGCACAGGGACAGCTCCTGATGCCAGTAAAATTCCATGGAGATAAAGGACCAAAGGTGCTCCCTCCTCTCGCACCCAAATTCAGCCTCTGCTGCGGCTGCCCCTGATCCCTGCATGTCCAAGGCCAGACTGGGACACTGGGGAAGGAAAGGTGGGAGCTGATGGAATTCAGGGTTCTCCCCACCCAAATCACTCTGGGATTCGAGAGAGCGATTCTATTTCCACACAGAAAATAAACACAAAGCTCGGGGCCGAGCTGAGTCAGTCACAGAGCGCTGCACAAATCCCAGCCCCGCTTTTTGCTCCCATCAGCCAAAAAGAAACAACAAAGCACTGAGCCACCACTTCTGTCCCTGCAGGCTCTGAACTCCAGCCGGGCAAACGCACCCGTTTTTATTCATTTTCTATCTGGAACTTGTCATTTTTTCCCCCCCATTTTTCACTTTTAAAACTTGCTGGGCCTCATGTGAACGTTGCTCAGACTCATTTCAAAGATGCTGATGGGGAGTGCAGAGCACTTTGGGAAGATCCTCCTCAGAAAGGGAAGAAAAATCTTCCTCAAAAAGCATTTCCTGCCGAAAAATCAACGCCCAGCCAGGCTGCAAGGGAAACCATGGAATCCCAGAATGGTTTGGGTGGGAAGGGACCCTAAATCCCACCCAGGGCCACGGGCAGGAACATTCCCCACTCTCCCAGGGGCTCCAAGCCCCATCCAGCCTGGCCTGGGGCACTTCATGGATCCAGGGGCAGCCACAGCTGCTCTGGGCAATCCCTGCAGCGTTTTTAGAGCTTCACTGTAGAAACTTCTTCCTTTAGCTCATCTAAATCCTGTTCCAGTCCAAAACCAACCTCCCCTGTCCTCCCAGAACCTTCCATAAATCCCAAACATCCTGAGCTGGAAGGGACCCACAGGGAGCACCCAGCCCAGCTCCCATCCCTGCAGGACACCCCAAAATCCGCCCTGTGCACCCCTGGCAGCTCTGAGAGCTTTGGGATCACCACCATTCCATGGGGAGCTGTCCCAGTGCCCAAACACCCTCTGGGGAAACCCCAAAACCCAACCCAACAGATCCAACCCCAAACTCCTGGAGTTCTAGCAGCTTTGGGATCACAACCATCCCATAGAGAGCTGTACCAGCACTCAACCAGCCCCTGGGGGAAGATCTTAGCCCAAATCCCACCCCAAATCCCATCCGGATGAAACCAACTCCCAGAACTGAGCAGCTGCTGCTGCTGCAGAGACCAGGAGAAGACTCCTCAGGTGGAGAAGCAGGGAGGATGACCCGAGGCGCAAACGAGGGAACAGGAGGAGCGAGGCCGGGACTTACGAAGTTCTTGACCTCCCTGCGGGCGTTGGCGTCGATGGCGAGCCATCTCTGCTGGTACTGGGCCTTGATGTCGGGGTCCTTGGAGGTCAGCGAGTTCTTGATCTGCAGCCCCGCGGCCACGCGCGCCACCTGGCTGTTGCCGGGGTTGGCCAGCACTTTGGACAGTTCCACCAGGAAGGTGGGCTGCGGAGACAGCGGGGTCAGCCTGGGCTGGGGTACGGGCTCGGCAGGGCCGGCGTGGGGAGGGATCCCCTCAGAGCTGACACCGGGGCCCCGCCGCCTTCCCCGCTCCTGCCCGCCCTCAATGAGTGCATTTATGGGGCAAACATGGAGGCTCTGGGGGGGAATTATGGAGGAACTCCCTGCTCGCTGTTTGGGCGATTCCACGCCCGAACTGGGATTGGTAAAATGGGGAACCTCTGATCTGTGACATTCCAAACGCTCTGCTGACCACAATGATGATTAACGCCTCAAAACTATAATTAGCCCCTCAAAACTATGATCAACCCCCCAAAATTACGATCGACCCCCCCAAAATTACGATCAACCCCCCCCAAAAGCACCTGAGTGCACACAAAACCCCTTGACACTGGTGCCACTTCCTTTGCTAAAACCTTCAATTTTTAAACCTTTTCTTCTTTCAAACCTTTTTGAAATTTCTTCACATTTCAGAGGCTTCCCTTAAGTCAAGTGTCAGAAGTGAGGTTTTATTTTTTCCTGAATATTTTTCCTCAAAAGCTTTTTGCCTGCTCAGAGAGGCCTTCCTAGAAAATAGTGGGAGCAGATGCATTGCTTTCCAAGTGATTTTCCTAAAAATCTTCTACTTTTTTACAATAAACGCAGTTCTAAAATCTTTTAAGAAATCTTAAAATACATCCTTAAAGAAAAACAAACCAAACTTAAATTACAAAGATTTTGGGGCACCAAAACCCATTTTTAAAACTAACTCAACATTCAAAAGTTGAACAAACAACTCCAGTGCCTTGGACCCCAGGTTTTCAATGCCCAAGCCCAGCTCTTGAGATAAAATTGATTTTAGTTGTTCCATCCCAAACTCTTCAAGTTCAAACTGAAGAATTTGGGGTCAAAAAATGGGGGAAAACTTTAAGAGATGCTGTAAAGCATTAGAAATATTCTAAATTTAATGCAATAGAATAAACCCTATGAACAGACCCCACTAAACCACTTCAAACCAAATTTTAAATTGTGATTGTATCAGGAGTGAGGAACCAGCTAGAATTAGCTCACAGGACAACCCAGAAGTGTTGCTGCCACCTTGGACAAGAAAACTCTTGAAATTCACAGGTGGAGAAGCATCCTTGGGTTTCTCATTCATAAATTAGCAGGAAAATTTGTCTTTTCATGAGGTTTTGGGGTAAATTCAGCTAAAAAAAAAGGCAGTATCAGAAACCTCAGGTTTGAGAGATAAGGTGAGGGCAGATGTGCCTGACCTGGCACATCTGCAGAGGTGTCAGGGAACAGCTCAGGTAAAAATGGATAAATGAGCTAAAGGGAGTTAATTAGGGGTGCAGAGGAGGAGGAAGGGGGGAGAGGAAGAGCAGGAGGCTCCAGCAGGGAACTGGGAGATGCCCCCAAAGCCCTGGGGCTCTCCTGCCCCTTCCCTCTCCTGGGAAAGGCTCTTCCCACCCAGGGAGCACATCCTGTGGTGGGGACAGGCCTGAATTCCTCATCCTCATCCTCCTGCTTCATCCCCACCCTCATCCTCCTCCAGGACTCAGCCCCTCCCAGCCTGGACCATTCCCACACAGATCCTTGGTGCCAGCCCAAGCTCTGCTCTCACAAAGCAAAGTAAAAATGAAAGCTTGGAGCAATCCCCCCAGGCAGAGGGGAAAAACCAAACCTTGGGAAATCCTCATTTGCCCAGCTCTTCCCAGCACCTGGGAATCAGGACCATGAGCAGCTCCTGCCCATCACCCCAAAATCCCTCACACCACAGAGCCCTGGGGCTCCAGGCTCAGCTGGGGCATCCTGAGACGCCCCCAGCACCAACCCAGAGGATTTTCCCTCAAAACTGGTGCTGAGCACAAAGGCTGCATCAATCCTGCTCCGAGGGGAGCTCACCCTCCTCCCAGGAGGAGCACCACAAACACAGAACCCCCGTGGCTGTCCCAGCTCACAGCGGGCCAGGGGAGGAACTGCTGGGGGTGACAGGTGCCAGTTCTGGGGGTGGCAGCGGGGCTGTGACAAGGACAGCACCGGGACACCGGGACCCAGCACCCCCAGTGCTCCCCAGGGCTGCGGGGAGCAGCCAGAGCTGCAGCCCCACGCCTTGACTAAGCAAAAACCCTTCTCGAGCAGCAGCAGCCTCGAATCCCCTGCTCCAGCACCGCGACTACACCCGGGGCTTTGGGCTTTTTGTTCCCCCTTTTTTTCTTTTTTCAGACTTCTTTTCTTCCTCAAATCTAAGGTCACCGGGGGTGCAACTCCCCCTGCCCAGCCGCACCTCCCTCCCCACCAGCCGCCCCCGAGCTCCTCCCCAGACTCCCGAAGCTCCGATCCCGCCCGGCCGGGGGGCCCGAGGGGATGCGGCGGGCCCGGTGCGCCGGGCAGCAGGACCGGACAGGGGTCCCGAGGGCACTGGAACGGGGCAGCAGGGCTGGGCGGGGGTCCCACAGGCAGTAGAACCGGACACTGGCACCGGGCAGCAGGGCTGGGCAGGGATCCCGCGGACGGCAAGGCTGGGAGAGGGTCCCGTAGGAGCGGGCGCTAGAAGCGGCCGGGGGTCCCGCGGGCGCAGGGCCGGGCGGTAGGAGCGGGCAGCGGGACTGGGCGGGGGTGCGGCGGCACTAGGAGCGAACGGGGGGCCCGCAGGCGCTGCAAGCGGCAGGCGGGGCCGGCCGGGGGTCCCCGCAGGCGGCCGGGCTTTAGGACCGGGCGGCGCCCGGGGCCGCGATGGCCGCGGTGGCCGCACATGGCCCGCGGCCGCTCCCGCACCGGCCCCGCCCCCCGGCCCGGCGCCGCGCGCTCATTGGCTGCCGGGTCCGCAGGGCGCGCTGTGATTGGCCCGCGCGGCCGCCGGGCGCGGGCAGGGGCGGCAGCGGCCATGGCGGCTGGGCCGGGCCGGGCCGGGCCGAGCCGGGCGGGGCGGGGGGGCCGCGGAGCGCTCGGGGCAGCGCCGGCCCCGCCACCGGCCCCGCCACCCCCGGGGCCGCCCCGAGCGCTCACCAGGTTCTCGATGGCCGCCTGCTCCAGGAACTTCTGCGCCGCCTCGAGCTCCGAGCAGTCTGCGGAGGGGAAACCGGCGTCAGCCGCGGCCCAACCGCCCGGGCCCTCAGGCTCCGAGCGCGCTCCTCAGCGTGCCCGGGAGCCTCCCCGCCGCCACGGTTCCCGCCCGCCCCACGGCCTCCGCCGCCGCCCACGCCCTCCCCGGGGCTGCGGGCGCCGCCTCGGCCGCCCCGCGGGTTGCGCGGCCCCCGCCCCGCCCGGCCCCGCCGGGCCTGCCCGCCCCGCTGCCCTGAGCCCTCAGCCCGCGCCCTACCCGGCGAGACCGTCTTCTCTAGGATGGTGATGAGCTCCATGGCGGCGGCGTGGCGGCTCCGGCGCCGGCGGGAGGAGGAGGAGGAGGAGGAGGAGGGGAAGGGGAAGGGGGGGGGAAGCGGGGCGGGCCGGAGGAGGGGAGGGAGGGGAAGGGCGGAAAGCCGGGGCCTGCCCCGCGGAGGCGGCGGGCGGAGGCCGGAGCGGGGCGGGGGCGGCTCCCGGTGCGGCTGCGGGGCGGTGGCGGGAGATTATTTTCAAAAAAAAAAAAACCAAACAAAAAAAGAACGGAAAAAGAAGAAGGAAAGAAAAAAAAGGGAAAAAAAAAAAAAAAAAAGAAGGGGCCGCGCGAGCGGGGAGGCGGCGGCGCGCGCGCGCACCGGGCGGCGGAGGGATACGCCAGGAGGCCCCGCGCGCGCGCCCCGCGCCCGCCGCGCTGATTGGCCGGCGGGGCCCCCCCGGGCCGGCGCGCGCGCCTTTCTATTGGCTGGGCCGGCGGCGCGAGGACATTGGCGGTGGGGGGGGCAAAGGGGGACAGCGGGGGAGGAAAGAGAAGGGGCGGGGCTTCCGGCGGCGCGCGCGGGGCTTGGGCGGGGCCGGGCCGGGACCATTGCCGCGGGGCGGGGGGGGAAGAGGGGCGCGACCACGTTGGGCCGCGGGTGGGGGCGGCACCGGGACCGGCGGGACCGACGGAGGAGAGCCGGGACAGCGGCACCGCTGCTGGGCCACCGGCAGCGCTGCTGGTTCCGGCCACGGCCCGCGCAGCTCCGCCCGCGGCGGGCGCGGAAAGCGGCGGCAGCGGCACCGGAACCGGCTTGGGAGGAGCCACGTGCTCGGCGCGCAGTGGGAAGCGGAGCCGGCGCGGGTGTCCCGGGGCCGTGTCCGGGTGTCCTGCCCGGCCCTGCAGAGTCGCTCCGGGACGGGGTCCCGCAGGAACCGGGATGTCCCTCGGGCCGTGATGGAAGCGCTCCCGGGGGAGACAGCCCCGCCAGAACCCGCACCGGCTCCGGTGTTCCCCGAGTGCCCCCGGGACGGGCACCGCGGTCCCTCCGCGCCCCGGTGTGTCCCCAAACCGGGTGACACCGGCACAGCCGAGGGATGCGGGAACGGGAAGGAAAAGGGAAAACGGGACAGGTGGAGAGCGGCGGGTGATAATTAACGGGCTGTAACGGCGAGTGGCAATTAGTGACACACAAACCGCAAACACCGCGGGGACAAGCGACAATTACCGGGACACAGCCCCGGCCCCTCCCGCGGCTGCGAGGCACCGGGAAGGGCCGGGAGAGGCGAGCGCCGCCCCGGGCGGGGGAGCGCCGGGCTCGGCCCTGGCATCGTCCCTCGCTCCCGGAGGATTCCGGGATCCCGGGAAAGGGACGCGCTCCAGAAACGGGATCCGAGGGAATTCGGGGAAAATGAGGCGCCCGGCGGGGAGAGGGCAGGGTCGGACAGGGTTTGGGGAAGGAATTCCTGCTTGGGAGGGAGTGATCGGGCCCTGGGACAGTTCTCCATGGAACGGTGGTGATCCGAAACCTCCCGGAGCTCCAGGAGTTCTGGGCTGGATCCGGGGATCCCTCCTTGGATCCCTCAGCTGTCCCTGGTGGGGACGCTCCCAAATCCCGTGGGCAAAATCACGGCACGGTTTGGGTGGGAAGGAGATTAAAGCTCATGCGGTGCCACCCTGCCACGGGCAGGGACAGGTCCCGCTGTCCCCGGCGCTCCAGGGCTGTGGCAGCCACAATTCCCTCCTTAATTACCACAATTCCCTCGTTAATTACCACAATCCCCTCGTTAATCACGCCCTGAGCCCCATCTCAGCCCTTTCCTCACCGCAAAACTCCTCTGTCCCTGTCCTGCCCCTCTCCCCAGCATTACTTTGTCACCCACGATAAAAATCAAGGATTCCTATGGGAAGGACTGATCCCGAAGTTCCTTTAACGGGGGTTCAGCCCAGCCCGGCCCCGTTTGCTGCTGCGGTTGCTGTTTCTGTGCCGGTCCCACGCGGGTGCCCCGGTCCCGCTCGCTCGGGGTTATTTTCACTTTGTCCGTGTGCAGGCGGCAGAAGGGAAAGCGGCTTAGCCTGGGGCAGGGCTGGTGCTGACAGCAGCGAAATTCCCGAGCCAGGCTCGTTCCCAGCCCAGCCTGGGCAGTGCCACCGGCCAAGAGCTCAGAGCCTCAACATTGACAACTCTGGGGCGTTTCCCCACCCTGGAAGCGCCTCCACGGCGTTATTCCGTCAACTTTGCGCTCTTCAATACATTATTTTTATTCACGGCTTTTTTCTTTCCTTTCTCTGCTAAGTCCTGGGCAGTTCTGGAGTGCCCGAGGGTGGTTTTTGTTCACATTACACAAACTCTACCCCAGTGGCACAGGAGGGGGTCCTGTAAGCGGCACCTTGGCCTCTGCTGTCCCCTCACAGCTTTGGGTCACTTCAGGCTCTAAATTAAACTCAGTTTTGGGTCACTTCAGGCTCCAAATAAACCCAGCTTTGGGTCACTTCAGGCTCTAAATTAAACTCAGTTTTGGATCCTTTCAGGCTCCAAATAAACCCAGCTTTGGGTTCATTTCAGCCTTCAAACAGAACACAAGGTGAGGACGTGAATTTCACATTGACATTTTTATTAACGCCAACTCTTTTAAATCTTTTTTTTTTCCTTTATTTTGTACTCTTTTTTTTTTGCTTGATTTTTTTTTATTTTTTGTGGGTTTTTTTGTAATCTTTTTTTTTTTTAAACAATAGCACAAAAATGTCTCGAGGGGAAGCAGTCTGACAAGTTAAATCTGATGACCTTCTGAAAAAATTAACAGTTAAGCCACACCAAATACGAATTCCTGTTAAAGAAAATAAGGAAAAAGGGAGGAAAAACCAAAAATAAAAAGCTGGAACTCCAACCTTTGTGTATTAGAGGGTGGCTGGTTAGTAGGACCACGTTGCTTTGGGAGGGGATGATGGCACAGCTTCATCATCATCATCATCATCGTCATCACTGATTTAAGGCTTCAGAATCCAAATTTCCACGGCAATGATGGAGAGGGAGGAGCAGGAGGAGCTGGATCCTCTGGAGGGGGAGCAGGGCAGCCCTGCCCCGGCAGCAGCAGCAGCAGCAGCAGCCCCGTCCCCCTGCGCGGGGAGAAGGGGCCGGGAGAACGGAAATGAAATCAAACTGCACGAACCTTTCTGCTTTAATGTGGCTCTGAGAGGAGCTTCCTTTACAATCCCGAGCTCTCCTCGAAGGACATCAGGGGTGGGGGCACCCAGGAGAAACAGAACAGGGAGGTTGGGGGGGTTTTGGGGGTTTTTTTTGGGGTTTTTTGGGTTTTTTTGTTGCTGAGAGGTAACACAAAAGGGAAAGGGGAACCCTACTATCCTTGGGGTGGGGAGGGTTCAGGGACATCTCCCCAAAACCTTGCACAGGTTCTGTCCAACCACACCTGCCTGGCCCCGGGACCTGTTCCACACAAGGCTGAGGCCCCACTCCTGCCTCAGGCTCTGCACTGACCTAAAAACCCCTGGTTTCCTCTTTTTGGGGGGAGGGAGGGTGTAAAAAACAGAACATCTGTCAATAAGTGTCAGGAAAGGGGAGGGGGGTGTTAAATATTTTAACCACTGACAAGGCTTGAGGAAGTTTCACAGTTTTGTTATGCTCTATTTTATTACTATCATATTTACAGATTTTTCTCTCTCTTTTTTTTTTGTATTTTTGTATTTTTTTTCTCTCTCTCTCTTTCTGCAGAATCGCTGATAGATTTTTTTTTGTTGCTGTTGTTGCTGTTGTTGTTTTTTTTTCCAAACAGAATTTTCCCAAATTCTTGGAGTGTGTGAGCAGGAACCGATTAAACTCTACATTCACGGTCCAATCCCCACGGGCTTGAGGAGGAGGAGGAGAAGGAGGAAGAGGAAATAAACAAAAAAAAAGAAAAAAGGAAAAGAAACCAAAATAAAAAAAAAAAAGGGAAAAAAAAAGAAAAAAAAAAACAAGAAAAAGAAGGGGAAACAAACCAAAACCAAAACTCCCAAATTCTTGGCATGTGGGTGATCGGTGGGGGCTCCTCCCGGTGCCCGGGGCTGCGCTGGGGCCGCTGCGGGCGCGGGGGGCTCACACGGGGGCGGGCGGCGCCCGGCGCTGCTGCAGGAAGTGCTGGATGCTGTCGGCGTCGCGCCGCAGCCACGCCGCGTTCAGCAGGATGTTCTCGCAGCACTGCTGCACCGTGCGCTCCGCCGACGGCGCCGGGTGGCTCTCGAAGAACGCCTGCGGGGACAGCGACAGCTGCGGGCGCGCTGGGGACACGGCCGGGACCCCTCAGAGCGAGCGGGGCCTTGGGGCGGGGGCGACGGAAAATCAGCCAGGATGGGGAAACGCCTGCAGGGGTGGGGAAACGCTAACAGGGATGGGAAATGCTTCCAGGGATGGGGAAACACCAGGAGGAATGGGGGAACGCTAACAGGGATGGGGAAACACCAGGAGGAATGGGGGAACGCTAACAGGGATGGGGAAACACCTACAGGGGTGGGGAAACGCTCCCAGGGATGGGGAAACACCAGGAGGAATGGGGGAACACTTCCAGGGATGGGGAAACACCTGCAGAGTGTGGGGGAACACTTCCAGAGGTGGGGAAACTCTTCCAGGGATGGGGAAATGCTTCCAGAGGTGGGGAAACACCTCCAGGAAGAGGGAAACTCTACTAGGGATTGGGAAACAGCTGCAGGGATGGGGAAACTCTTCCAGGGATAAGGAAACACCTGCAGGGATGGGGGCTCAGTCCAGCTCCTGCCCTACACAGGATGATGATCCCCACAGTGCCAGCTTGTCCCTGAGGGAATTGCCCCTACAGCCCTGAGGGAACTGCCCCTACACCCCTGAGGGAATTGCCCCTACACCCCTGAGGGAATTGCCCCTACACTCCTGAGGGAATTGCCCCTACAGCCCTGAGGGAATTGCCCCTACACTCCTGAGGGAATTGCCCTTACACCCCTGAGGGAATTGCCCTTACAGCCCTGGAGCTCACAGGGAGCATCAATTCAACCCCTGGCCCTGCTCAGACACCCCAAACCCCACCCTGGCCCCATCTGGACACTTTTCCAACACCTTCAGATCAGCCCTGGCACCCAAAACTGCCCTGAGGTGAAGCCACTCTGCAAGGTTTCAGGGTGATCCTGAGTTTCCAGTTTGGATGGACAGTGCCCTCAGGCCCAGTTCAGTGCCCTCAGGC